ATTTGAATGAAAATAAATTTCATCTTAAAATGAAAATCATTTTAAAAATATAATTTTTCAATTATTTTATATTTACAAAATGTTTTCAATACATTCGAATGTAATTTTATTTACGATCTTTGTATTTCATAATCAATGTTAAATGTTATACTTTGCCTTATTTTGTCATTGTACTTCTGTCATCATAAAAGGATTAATAAAAATAATTAATATTTTTGGCATTCCTTGTAATTATAATGTCTTAATAGAGAAATATTTTGTTAAATACTGAATAACAAAATTATATATTTTATACAAATGTAGAAAAATATGTGTGATATGGAAACACATTCCATATATCAAAAAGAATTTCACGTTTAAAAATATGGTTGAGGCTTATTTTTCAAGGTATAAAAAATTCAATTTCAAAATTATTAAATAAAAATGCTTCTACAGGTTTATATAGTTCATCTTAAACTAGTATATGTATATACACATTCGAATGGTAAGAAACGTTCACCAACTTATCATGATGTCATTTGCTAAGCAGACCAAACAGAAAGTTTCAAGGTACATACAATACATATCATTTTATGTACGATTGATTATATCAATATTTTAATGTAATGCAACACTTGTGAAGATGTATGTTCAATTACAAAAAATGAATTTACATATTTATATATATCGTTATAAAAAAAATTTAACGAAGGGATAAGAATAACAAGTGTGCAATTTTAGTAAACACATATGTATTAATGTAAGATCGAAATGCAAATACTTGTGTATATGCTGAATATAAAGAAATAAAAAAAAAATTCAATTCTTTATTTAGCTTTTAGATAGATTTTTATATAGTTGTCTTTAGAAAATTCTTTGGAAACAAGAATTCGTCAAGAAATTTTAAGGCGTGGAGACAATCGGAAGACTGGTAGCGTAAACAAGATAATTTCAGTAATTCAGTAAATGGAATATACATTCCTTGTATTTGGAAAATGAAATTTCTTTCGGAACATCGTAATTGGGGTTGCTAATTGTAGCAATAATTTTTATTGCCTACTTTAGTGAATATTAAGCATTTTTAGTGTAATTCAAGCATTTCATAATGTAATTCAAGTTAATTCGAATATGGTCATATTTGATATCATTTTTCATCGGAGATATGTATTTACTTGTTATTTCATTGGCAATCAGTATGTTGATATAGATCATTTTTCATGTACATAAAGATTATTAAATTGATTTGTACGCAGAAAAATATATTTATTTTTGAACAAACATATCACGGAATTTTAATTTATTGTGGATTTCAATGAACGAGCGGGTTTAATATAATGTAGCGATTTTTCTAAGATTTCTTTTTTAAATATTGAACGATTGTTTTATAACGTTGAATATTATATAATTTGCAAATGTCATGCAGTTTACATATATATAAGTTGAAATTATATCAATACATTGTGTATATTTTGAATATTTTTCATCATGAAGCTTTGCTTAACAAACAATGTCGTAACACGATATTGAACGTTTCTTGCCATTCAGTCAAATATATAATATGGAATAAGATAAATACTATATTAGCATTTTCAAAATTATACTGTTTACAACCAGAAAAATAAGTTTCCATTGATATTTTTGTATATATATACATAAATGTCTAGCTCTCACTAAGAAATTAAAATATTTCTTATTATTAGATATTTATAATTATCTTCAATACGTAATAGTTTGATGTTTCTATCTTTTTGTAATTCATCCTATTATAATTCAATGTTATTTAATAAAAATTTAATAATTAATTAACAGTAACTGAATGTTTTTAAGATGATATAAATTATTTTTGCCAGTATCGAATTAATTAAATTTCTGAATTAATAGTAACAAGAATTATGCATTGAAGTAAATACTAAATCATTTCCATGAAATTGTTTACTTTTGCATCTCTTTGTTCTGATATTGAATTCGAAATATTAGTCACGTTACAAAACCATGATAATTTTTTTTATTTAGATAAATGCTTCAGAAATAATAATTATAGATCTTTGTAATACGTGTTCATGTATTGCATTGGATCATTATATAGTATTGCATTGGAACTTGTGTGTTGAAATTACTGATTAAAAAAAAAAAAAAAAAAAAACACGTAGCTAACGTTCAAACAACAAAAATTTATTATGCAATAAGAATATTTTTGGAAAGTCTTCATACAAACTCAAGATATTTGCAAATTTTGTTTAACTTTTATACATATATGATACGCAGAATAGAGCATAATGAAATTTTTATTTCTAATCTAATAAATAACAATGAAAGTTACAAAATAAACGGAGTTTATAATACGTATATGCGTTTTAATTTCAGGTTTTGCAAGTACGATTGTATTTTTTTAATTTAATGTAAAGAATACGGAAAAAAAAAAATGTAAATATAGACGGTATATTGAAAAAACAATAGATTTAGAAAATTTTTCTCAAAATAAAGCATAAACACATTCAGTAATTTCTGCTGGTAATTTCATATTTTGAACACTTTATAATTCGAATATCAATAATATTTATTTTGATATGAAGACTTTTGTAATTTACAATTTATCTAGAATAATAAATATAACATAATTTGTTAATCTACGCGCAGTTGAAATCTAACAAATATGTAAATTAAAATTTATAAACACTACATACTTATAATATATTTACAATACATTGTTAAAAGAAACGCTCTCATATTGGTCGCGCCACAATAACTATATCTCGTTAAATCTAAATATATGTATATTGTATATATTCGGCTTTGTTATGTCGAATGAAAGGAAGACCTATATTTTTTTGCCTCCATAAGAATTTAATCTTCATTGACTGTCCTTTTCCAAAATTTAGTTTTATCATAATTAGTTTACAAAGTAATTACTAGTATCATTTAAATAACTCTTTTCAAACGATCGGGAACATTTCAAAGCTTATGAAATTAATTTTTAAAAATATGTTGTTATGCTTTTTACATTGGAACATTATCAAACTGTTTACGTTTCAAAGTATATTAATTCAATTTAAATAATATCATTTGTGAAATTATTCGATATTATTAGTTATTAATGGCATTTATAAGAATCGTGTATCGATGAATTTTTAATGCATTTATTTGCTGCAAATATAGCTAATTGTTCCTAAATATATTAACATAAATCGATCTACAACAGCATTATGTAATATATAATACATATGTATGTATACATATTTACGGTAATTATTTGAAGAAGAGAGTAATAAGTTTCAAATTATTTAAAATTTATTTACAATAAATGTAGTTTAGATAAAATAATTTAAAATTTTGTAGATAAAGATAAATTTAAATTTATGTAATTCCGATATAAGTAATATTAAAAATGTATACTTTTAAAAAGTAATTCCAGTAAAGTAAAAGAATTAAGTCAATGAAGCAAATATTAATTTCATATTAAGGAATTTTATATAAAAAATTAAAGATAATTATTTATTTAGTTTCAGTATGTTGTAGAATAATTAATGAATAAAATAATTAACAATTAATATTTTTAACATTAAGTAATATTATTTTGTTTTTAACTTATTATTTACAAGATATAAAATAGTACATTTTAAATAAAAAATTTAAAATTTAATTTCAATATTGCGATTTTAAAAAAAAAATTTTTTTTTATTTTAAAAAATATTAAATATTTTAACAAAAGAAATAAATATTTTAATAAAAAGAAATAAATATGTATGTGGGATCGGGAATTCTGGGAAAGGGCTCAGAATTTTCTCCAGTGCCCAACAATCCTCGCCTGCGTGTTATCTGTACAGCAGAATATAAAGAAAGTTAGACCTAAGACTTGGGATTGTTCATTTTAGTTTTTCAGGTCTAATACTTGAAATATTAAGGGTATGGTTGCGTTTGTGTGCGTGTATGTGTATGAACGACGAATGTTCGTGCAGATGAGGAAAAAAGAGTCAGTCAGAGTTTTGAGCATTCAGTAAGACAAGACTAAGTTGCGAGTCGCGAGAGTGAAAAAACAGAGTTGCGAGTCTTGAGTGAGTAGTGAGTTCAGCGTGTAGACGCAGCAAGTATAGTGTAGAATAGTGTTAATTCAATAGTGTCAAAATAGTGTCAAAATAATTTCAAATCACCATTAAATAAATTCCTATTTTTATCTTCAAATAAATAACCTTTTATACCAAAATTCCTATAAATATATTAATAACTGTATTTGAATAAATTCAAGTAAAAAATTATAATTATAAAAAGTTAATAAAAATATATAAATTACAAGAAAAATATCATATTTTTCCTTGTTTATTTTTTATTAATTTTGGATAATTAAACTTTCGTAAAAATGACAATCAATATATTTGAATTACGTAATGCTTTCATGTACAGTGAACATAATATAAATATTTCTTCCAAGTGTTTTAATAATACCAAATATAATTTTTTTATTTATCTTATTTTTTTTATACGATATAATTATGTAATTGTTGACTATAAAAAAAAATTAATTATATTCGTTATTTTTATGCTTAATTGTTTAGTAATAACGTTATTAACTAGATAGCTTAATTATCCAGGAAGTGTAAATAATTGATATTAATAAAGAAGATATAACAAAAAAAGAATATGTATACATATAACATATTTATCTGTTATTATCAGACATAATTTCAACTGTTGTTTCATCACATTTACATATATATTTATATTTTATTAGATAATTTCTCATATGTTTCATATGTCAAAAATATTTAATAATATTTTAGAGATAATAGTTCAATATTAATAAGTAGTACGAATAATTTGCGATTTTTAATTATTTATAAGTATTATTTTTTAGATTGTTAAAAAGAAAATGTAAGAAGTTTAAAGATAGACAATTTTTGTATTTTCAATTATACGATATTTATTGAAATTTATCAAATCGGTTAATAAGATTGCCATATTAAAAATATTAACTTTCCATTCAAATTGTTTGAAATTGTTTTTTCCATTGTTTTTTTTTTTTATCATAATGCTAGGATAAACGCAAATTCTTAAAAAGTTTAATGTTATTAAGTAGCATAAATGTAAATGTATAAATATACTTGTATATTTATGTGTGAATTGTTTTTCTTCATTGTATGTACCAATTGTAAAAAGCAATGCTTTTTTATTTTAATATAAGCATGTTTTTATAATATCGTATTATAAGAAATAAATCAGATAAAATTATTATTTTATGTTATTCCCGAATCGTTTTAAATTTTGATCAGCATGAAATTCGTTGTTAAATTTTTTTCACAAGAATGTATAGTTTAAGGAATGAATATCATAGTTAAGATGAATAACGGAAAAAATAGCGTAATCGGTATTAAATTATGCCTGGAATTTGCTGTGTTTATATTCACCCAAGACGGGGGTAATGATGGCGGTATCAATGGCCTTTCTGTTCTATGGTTTTCATGAAGAGTACTACCACCCATTATTTGTGTAGTACTAAGATCGTCGTCGTTTCCAGAAGAATCAAATTCATCAAAACCACTTATATGTATTTTTCTACCGTTGTTACTGTTACTCTTCTTTTTTCCTTTTAATATAGGTTTTTTTCGAGGCTTCAGATCGGCGAATTTCACAGAAGTGCTGGGAGTTGTTTTTGCAGCAAGATGTAACTCTAAACCAAAAAGAAAAGTTATCAATTATATAATAGTATCTGTTGTATAAGTGTTGAGCATCTACCTATCAAATATCTACGTATACATTTGATTTTTAAAGATAAACTACTAGGTTACGATATGATCGCTTGTGATATGCTACTTTTGAGAATTTTCGATAAAAGATATGATTTAGATGTTTTGCTCATGGGAATTTAGCGCATCTGTTTGTTATTTGAAAAACGAAGAACTGTTTAGATTTCTCCATGGATTCTTAAACAGATTTTTAATAACAATGGTTGTATCCCCGTTTCTAAATAATCAATGTAGAATAAAATATTTTTTGTATCTCATCAATGAGATTGGTCTTTCGAGTGGTCCTGGTTTTTTCATAAAAAACCAAGATGATCATCAGATCAGTTATGAATATTAAATATCAAAATTAAAATTACGTTATTAAAATTTTCAATACATGTTAAATTTTTAAATATTAAAAGGATTTTGAATCTTTTAAAGAAATTTTTAAAAGAAAAGGTTTTAATTTTATTTTAAAGAGATTATAACGAATATCATCACTTAATATTTTACTATTTTTGCTAAAATAATTAAAAAAGATAGAATTTTAGTATTAGTATATAAAATAACATCAACGATTAGAGAAGAGAATGATATTATGGTCTTTTGTTGGTAATTTTTTCTTCCTCTTTTTTATAATTGTAATAAAAATATTTAGTGATAAATGATATATTCTTTTTTTATTATAAATATTTTCTTGCTTTAAACTAAGATGCCATAATATATTCTTTTTTACTATTAGATGCCACAAAGTTATTATTAGTACGAAAGCAACGAAAGTTTTCCTTAAAAGTTAAAAAGTTGTATATTGAGATATATCTAGCAAAGATTTATAAAATCAATAGAAGCAAAGTTATTTAATCTTTGATAATTTTGAACATAAACTTTATTTTAAAAGATATGTATGTTGATATATTGGTCTTCATAATGAAAGATAAAATAATTTAAGACATAAAAGCTTTAAATCAGAAATATATAAATCTACAGTAAAGTAAATCAGAAATATATAAATCTACAATATAATAAACAAAATTCATTTTTTGACATTTAAGATATCGAGATCTCTTATGGAACTCCTCATAACAGCAATATAAGGTCATATTTTGTAAGAGACCTTATATTATAGACTAACATAATGAATTAAATGACTCATTTATGTAATATAAATAAATAATGAGTGCGTATCTTGTAAAAAATAGCAGATTTTTATTAATAAAATATAGAATTTACTTTAATGATTTATTTTTAATTATCAATGTTACCAAAAAATTATTTTTGTTCAAGTTTTTAAAATAATATATTTTAATAATATTTATGTTTATGTTTATTATATTTTCATTACATATGTTTATTATATTACATTATATATGTTTATTATATTATAACATATGTTAAATTTGGATAAACTTTATTTTAGAGCATTATATAAGAATAATAATTAAAATTTATATTTTTAAAGAATAATAATTAAATTTTTATATTATCCGATAAGTAGTTGATAAATATGGAGAAAATACAATAGTTTTGATTATTGATATCCATTCGTTTAAAAATTAGACACTTTTAAAGTTTGGTAATTTTAATGTACTATGTAGCTTACTTTAATCTGATAATCAAGTAAATTTTATTATTTATTAGAATACATAATAAATAAATAAATCGTTTATCAAATTTCGTTTTCAAATAACGTAAAAATATGAATGAAACATTTTGAGTTTATAATAAATATGTAATCAATAATATCCATATTTTTTTAAATTTTTTAATAACTTAAGTACCTGAACAATAATTGGAGAACTTCTTTAAAATTTCTCCTAATTTTGGTTTCCCAATTTGAATTTATGAAAAATAGTTCACGAATTCTTTACAATAACAATACTAGGAGGCAATGGTACTGGATTAAATACGATTCTCTGATAGCACATTCCACAATTCGGTATATTCGTGTGCCGTATGTTCATATGAAAAATATCGCATACACAGTATAATAATTTATAAAAATTAAATTAGCTTTGAAAAATTATCATTATCACAATTTCATTGGTTTCCAATATTCAGGACAATTTTTACTAAATGTATTAAACGCATTCAGCAATGATATTCATAATATGCATAATATATATTCATAATATTAATAACAGTTGCTTCCGAACTTTCAAACTGAACAGACGTGTTTACCTTGCTCGCGAGTGCCGATCATACAGAGTACAATAATAAAATGCTGTGATAGAAAGCGTCATAGTATGGGTAGATTCCCCATCTCTGACACACCATGAGTCAGAGAATGTGCACCAACAACGAGGCCTCTACACATAAAGGCCTACACACAGATTCCAACAATCAACCTACCACAAATTCATCAAATATTCCAACTATACAAGCAAAATCCTATGCTGTTACAATGATTAATTCTTTTCCAACTAAAGAGAAAGCAATCCTAATCAACGCTATTGACAACACAACAATGAAAGACTACATATTCGCGGTCGCAAAACTGGCCCCGAAGCTATCCGTTTCGCTTCCCGAATCTCCAATGGTCGTATTTGCATCTATCTCGACAGAAAGACTACAGCACAAGACTTCGTAACTAACCACAGAACAATAACCATCAATAACGTACATACTACAGTCAGATCGCTAATCAATCCATCCCAGAGATTAATACTTTCGAATGTCTCACCGTCTATACCATACGAATACATAGAAAAATACCTCGCAAACATCAACATTCGAATCAAAACTAACGTTCCTTCGAGAAGCTATACAGGAAATAGGTTTTACTCATATAATGACAGGTCTTTATCAACCCAGACGACCTCCACAGTACAGAATCTTCGCGTCTACGGATAAACCAAACTGCTTTCTATGCAAATAAAAAGGCCACGTAGTCAAAGATTGCAGTAATCCAGCTGAGCCTACAGCAACAAACCAGGTAAAAACAACGGAACCTAAAAACAAACAGACAGAACGTACGAATACTTTCCGGCTAACGTGGAAACCGCACATAAACAAACTTCGATCGGAATGCTACCAACGTCTCAACATTCTAAAAACAATTGCAGCAAACAACTGAGGTGCAAATATGAACACCCTGCTACTAACATACAGAACAATAGTAAGAACTAAGATAGACTATGGATCTATCGTGTACAACTCTGCAAGCCACCAAACCTTCAAAAAAGTCGACCCTATACACCACCATGCAATTAGGATAGCAGTGGGAACATTCCGAACCAGCCTAATTATTGACATCCTGAACGAAGCAATGGAAGTTTCTCTAAAAATCAGAAGAATGCATCTAAGCATCAAGTTCGCTGCTAAAATCTCTAGCACCCCTCAGAACACTGTATTTTTAAACACTTTTCGACAGAACGCCACACATCCGATGAAGAAAACTGCACTTCCATTCTATAATAGAATTTCCCAATATGAGCACGATCTCAACACGGTCATCTTGGCAACCCGAAGAAATATACTCAGTTTTCCGCCGTGGACTGTCCCTATAATCACAACCGACACCGATTTACGTGAACATGACAAAAAACAAATCAACCCTAACACATTTAAATACCTGTTCTGTGAGCTATCCCAGAGATACCAAGACCATACACATATCTATAGAGATGGCTCAAAAACCCAAAACGGCACCGGCTACTCGATTGTCTTCGAACATTCTACCACAACAGTCAAGCTCCACCAAGACACATCCATCCTGACCGCCGAACTTAACGCACTAAAACTCGAAATCACATCTAAATACCACAATAGAAAATTCGCCATCTTCAGTGACTCCACAAATGCTATCGCCTCAATTCTAAATCAATGGATAAACAATACAACTATCCAGGAATGCCAAAACGCCTACATCGAATCAAAAAAAAAAAACAATAACTAAATTATAGTAATATGGGTCCCATTCCACACAGGAATTGAAATGAACGAGAGAGTGGACAAAGCTGCTAAGGAAGCAGCGAATTCGACAATCTCCTACCACAACACAAACCTACCACTCGATTCTCTACTTGTCCACCTAAAGTAAAATATCAAACACCATTGGAACCACGAATGGAAAACTTTAGTGAAACCACGACTGCAAGAAGCATCAAAAATTACTTCTACAAGAACGTAATACCACCCATTCTAAAGAGACGTGACCAAGTCGTAATATCAAGAATAATAATCGGACATACGAAAATAACACACAAATACATATTCACCAAAGAAGACCAACCACTTTGCGAATGGTGCAAGATGACCTTAACAATAGACCACCTCATACTTGCGAAGTATACCTACTGCTAAAAGAATAATTCAGAGTCAAGCCCACCCTAAAAGACAACCTAATGGACAGTGGAACATCATCAAGCCTGCTGTAATATCTGAAACACACCAAGATCTACAATAACATATAAAATTCCCTCCTTCTATTGTCGCTAATAACCCATGAAGTTGACGCGAAATAAAATAATTGATTTAAAAAAAAAATATTAATAAAAGCTGACACTTTTATTAATGTTAATAAATATTAATAAAAGCTGACACTTTATCTTCTGTGACATAATCTAACCAGTTACACATTGATAACATAGTGTCATAAGCCGAAGAAAAATCGAATTTGCTACAATATCTTAAAATTACTTAATTTTAGCAATACATGACTTTTGAACTAGTAGATTCCGACACTAAAAATCATTATATTTCGTTTCTCTAGATTAGAATTCATCTTACACATCAAGTATTAGAATATACAAAAGAAAAAAAAAGATATTAAACATATGAAATATTAAAACAGAATTGTTTTTTTTTTTAACGAGGTTTAACCTTAAATTTAACTAAATTATTATTATTTTTTTTTATTCGCTTTTATTTGTTGAAGCCTCGCATGCTTCAATGTTTGCCAAACAATATCCCGTTCGAGTAAACGAGCGTCTAGATATTTACCATCATAAATTTTCTATCCCATTCTTTCGAAAGGAAATTGGATCTATTGGCTACAGCTAGCTTCCAACTTTGCTATAAAAGGCCGACAAAAAAAGAAAAAGAAAGTCGTTCTCTTCGATTAAATCATGGTGAAAATTCTCTTTGATCAATTTGTTACTTTGCATAGAGGTGATAACAACTTTTCAACCAATTCTCACTTTGTAACTGAAAAATAGATTCAATACAACTCTCAACTAAATATAAGGATTAAATCTATTTCAATTGGGCTGCAATCTGTTGCATTAATTTGTAATTGCGTGAATCATTATTGAGACATGCTATAGTAAGTTGTATAGACAATAACTTCGCATCAAAGAGCACGACTCAATACTACTTTATAGGAATAATCTTCTTAGTTTACTTATATTTTAAGCAAAAATTTAAAGCATTAATTTAATCATTTAATCATTAAAGATAATTAACCATATTATTATTTCTTCTTCTAAACTATAATGAGGAAAATTATGAAAAAAATCTATGAAAAATTATGACAAAATCATGAAAAAATCTTACTTGAAATGTTATCTTGAAATATTAATATTGTTGCAAAATTAATCAAAATCAATCAAAATCAATATAAAATCGATATAAAAATCAGTAGAAACCAAAATCAAATCGATATAAGTTTCGAATAGACTGTCGATAAAATTAAATGCTTTTATGATTACAAGAATTTATAATGATTTATAGCTTCAGTAACAAATTTACTAAACATTCTTTAGTGAAGAGAGAAAAAGGTGTAGAAACATTTTCAGTGTTTCATTGCTCAGAAGATCATAGACGCTTCTAAAAATTTAATTTAATTCTTTTTTCCCTCATTTCTCGATTAAGGCCAAGTGACAGTGAATGTGTAGAGAAAAGTTATTTTAAATCATATGCCCGATAACATATTTTAATCGATGAGTTGTTCTGTATACTGAGCGAACAATAATCTTCAACAGTGTTGAAAACATCTCTATTCAAATATATGCAGTGGCAATTGATAACAATCGAGCCCAGAAATATTAGATTCGTATCATGTATTTTGTATGAAAGTCAACATCAGTGTTGACTTTCATCACATACTTGAAATCCAACCATAGATTACAAAATTCAATCGAACTATGTTGTGTAACGAGTGCCTAATCATCATGTCATATTAACTGAATCTATTAAATTAACGATTAGTATCTCTCATAATGTAACAATGTTATATAAATTGAGAACATTATGCGTGTACACACTACAACTGATATATTTTTCTAGTTTAGTCACGAAATTGACAAAATTTTTTATTTCATTTCAATTTAAAAATGTTCTGTCTAGAGATTAATTTCTAATAAAAAACTTTTTAATCAAATTTTATTTTAACTGAAATTAATTTTTTCTTCTTTCTTTACATTGTAAATATAATAATCTACGTAAGCACAATTAAGAATTAATATATTCGTAACATTGATATTATAGTTATATTTTTCATTTGTTTATTTGTATATTTGTTTTCCAATATATTTCATTAAAAATGTATAAACAGAAATTTTTGTGAGTGAAGTAAAAAGATCATGATATTACGGATTGAATGTTAAACTATCACAATTAACATTTATTGAGTCAGCCATTAATGACTCTGAATATAGTCATATCCTAAGTTTCCATAGACAAATATATGTTCAATTAGAAGGTGTATCAAAATTTCCGGTAACTTTTCAAATAAATTGATAACAATTTATTGGCTTATCTTTTCACGGAAAAACTTACATGGTTCTTATGTAAGAAAGAGAGCCACTTAGTAAAATTTTGTAAAAAGCGAAGACATATATAGATTATAAAATCAGTTCAACCACAGACGAGGTACTTTAATATACGTCGTCTGTGTCTCGAGTCACATCATATACCTCATGCGCTCGAGTTCAATATTGAACATTGACATATTCGTAAATTATATCGATAACTGTCAGAAAACTATATTAATAATGAAGCAATCACAAAATTTTTAATGATAACTATGAAAATATTTTAGCGATCACTTTTAAAATATATAAAAGAAATTGTAGCTATCACTAGCATGTAACAAACGAGGTATATATCATACATATGAGCATACTTTCTGAGACCAACCTTCTTTTCGAAAAATAAAAAGTTAGACTAGTACAATGTCTAAAAAGTCAGGATACTGTAAATAGTGAAAGCACTTGTATTCTGGACAATCCAAAAATATATAGTTTTTAACATATAAATTACTTCAATTATCATTTCTAATTTACACATTAAGACAAATAGGGAATTATTTTTCTTTTAGAGGCATACATCAACAATTAATAGATATATTAGTATGTATAACATTACAGAAAGTGAATAAAATTTTTTCTTGATGCGCTTATTACCCTTATTGCAAATTTTGTTTTATTAGAAACCTTCGTTCTCACTAATCAAATTGGGCCTAATTCAAATGGATCATATTAAAATCATATTACAAACACAAAACGGTGACAGTGGAATTGACTTAGGCATAATTGAAACGGATTTTAGAAGCTTTTCAATCGTCAAAATGATAAAAAATGACATATCGGTGACAAAAAAAATCACACTAGAAACTTTAAAGAGGAAACATTGCACATCAGAAATAAATTTTAAAGAGAAAACCTTGTTTAGCGGAAAATATGCATTATGCTCAATCATCGATGATAATAAGTTATATAATAGTAGTTCGTATGAGCAGTATGTATTAATTCAGGACTGTCTATAAATAATTATTGTTTCGTGGTTTTAATGCGGTTCTAAAGTGGTCCATTTGAATTAAGTCTTAAGTTGAAGCTTATATAGTAGTTTAAAGCACAAATTATAACCAATTATTAATAAAAGATATATTATTATAAAAGATATATATATTATAAAGTCTGCAATATATTTATATTATCTTACATTACTTTGCATTACCTTGTAAACGAACAATACCATCAGCTTTTCCAAGAGCGTTCACAGACGAGCAAACATATTCTCCGAAGTCCTTTTTTTCCAAAAAATTAACAGTAAGATTCATCTGCCAAGAGTAATCGTTCAATGCATACTCTGTCATTGTATATTTTTCACTGGGCAGCAGTTTTTCACCTGCACAAGATACAAAAATATTACGATGCTTAGTAAAACATATATTTTTAGTAAAATTTTATAGAATGATAAAGATATGTATAATATTGTTTGTATATAATGTTACAACAATATTATAACGCAAATTCTAAGTATAAATAAACAACCAAAATAGTTAATATAAAAGTAGGATAATTAAATATGAAAGCTAATATTCTTTTTTTTATAATTCACATATTCCAAGCATGTATCTTATATCATTTGATTTATTACATGATTGTGTATATTATGTTGAAATTAAAAATAGTGTATATGTATTATCTTTTTGATCTTTATGTCCTTTTCAACAAGCCAAACTGGATTATGAAAGAAGTAGACTAGAGTATAGTACTTATATACTTAAGAAGTAGACTAGAGCATAGTACTTATATACTTAAGAAGTAGACTAGAGTATAGTACTTATATACTTAAGAAGTAGACTAGAGTATAATAAAAGTTTAAGTTACAATTTTGTCAATATTATGCGTCTAAATTTAGATTTGCATGACTATAAAAAAGAAGAAGAAGTGAAATGAGACATATTTGTTCTGAAATAGAATAACATATAATATAATCTTAAAAAGTCACGTGCGTAATGTATATCTATAATTTAATGTTGCGTACAAATAGAAACTCAGACAAATCAGTATCTGATGGAATAGAGAAGGCCAACTGGCCTTCGAGCCCTTGCCTCTACTTTCTTGATCGCTAGCGCTACCTTCTCCACTATATCAATCTTTCCACTACATTGAAATTTTCTCACCGAGCATGAGCCTCACTTTCTCAGCTGTTGATTTCCCAAGCAAGTTGAAAAATCGATGCAGTGGAGGGAATAGCGCTAGTGATCAAGAAAGTAGGGGCAAGAGTTTGCGCGCTGGTAGTAAGCCATTTCTGCGAAAGAATGTGTGATGTAAAAGATATCGACAATTGGAAGCAACTATTATCAATAGAAATTGCTAATTAAACACGTATTTCGTCCAAAAATATACCAAACATCGCAAATAAAACGGAAAATTCAAACATCTATAAAAATATTAAAAAATTTTTTTCGTAACTTGATCCACTCTGATTTTGAAAATTGAAATTTCCTCTTTATAACGATCTTTTAAAAATTATTAATTTTTTTTTTGCAATTTTATTGAATTTTAAATATTAAGGTCAAGTAAGGAAATGTTAGGATTTATTGAATTTTTGTTATTTAATTCTAATGTTCAAAGTTCAATAAAATGATGTAAAACGATAGTACAGCAAGTTTTAAGGGGTTGTTCTAAATGGAAAATTTTGGCCTTCAAGATCGTAATAAATATTCAGTCATAAATAAAATTCAAATTTTACAATCTTTTACATATGTGAATTTTTATAATTTTTGTAAAGAAAAGAACTTTTTCATTTGCTAATATCTTGGGGGGAAAAAAAACGAATTGTTAAAGCCAACGTGGATCTAGGAGACGCGTCCCTCTGTCATTGGCCCTACAGCCAACAGTTGTATAAAACGTAATGCGAGGGACGCATTCCTAGGCAGTACTGTTAGGTCCATAAAGTAATTGCAAGAATTACTTTATAGGACTGACCTTGCACGACGTTATTTTTTGGCCTAAAATAAATTACTTTCCCAATCATATGATCGCGGAAGGATATTATAAGGCCGACATATCATAGAACACAGCCAGGATCGCACAGTGAGTTCCCGATCAACCTTCGAGCATGGAAGTTGAGCAAGACTTTTTATTCATAATCTCAGGTGTGTGCGTAATACAAAATCAAAGAAAGACTCCAAGTGAGATTCAAACTCCCCACAATCGAAGAAGGAAACATATCATCAGACATCACGAATAACAAAGCTGCAACAGCCTCGACTGCACACCTGCAGGCAAAGCATCCACATGGATGGACGGTGGCTAAAAGAAGAGCGACAGAAAAACAACTTAAGGTTACCATCTCAAGAAAAAGGGCCATATTCTTATTAGATTCACCTCCTGTCGCAAATATGCAGAAGGGTATGGAACATGTCATCCCAGCCATCTCTACCAAAAACAGGTACAGCGTCTTCACTGATGGTCTCATAAATGAGTTAAACTCAGGCCTCTAAAACACGAGATCAAAAAATGACATTTCAAACGTGAACACCGCAACAAATACAAACCCTCCTGCTAAAAAACTAAACGTCAAACCTCCGTCGATACGTATACGGTAAAATGGACCATATTAAACTCATTGACGCACTTAAATAAAATATCAGAATACATTCCAAGACAAATTTACATCCGACAAACTTAACACATTGCGGGCAGATCACGAGTTTATTTGTATTTCGCGCGCCATCTGTTACGGACGGATTACGAGATAATTCGTGTTTTCTACACTCTCTTTAGATGCCACCTGTTTTGATATATTATATCTATTTTGTCTATTTAGATGTTTATATCACATAGTCAATGTATTAAACTCGATTGCCTTCACGTTTTTTTTTACTTATTTACCGGTTTTGATTGCAAAAAAAATATCCGGTGTATCTTGTGTTAAAATAATGTTTGCTAACATCAAAGATTTTAAATTTAAGGCTATCTGCATCAAAGATAACATTGAATTTTACATCTCCGAAAAAACCTTAATCGTGCCAATTAAAATATGTGAAAACATTAGATGTCAGGGCCTAAATCCCATACACTGCCCTGAAATATCGCCCCACCAAATACCACGTTCGTACTCGAAATCACACTTGCAGAAGCAAATCATATCAGATTCATCGAAGATGTCAAAATATACTGGGAAAAATATGAATTCCGTAAAACGAAGATTCAGTGTTTCCACTGTCAGGCGCACGGTCACACGTCGTCAAATAAACACATCTTCAAAGCCTTATACTTCTTTACTTTCCCATAACACGGAAAACCGCTAAGATCCCAATTCTCAAGCAGGGAAACGCAACAGTCGTCGAAAACTACAAGCCAATCAGCTCCCTAGTACCCCTAAGTACCATCAGCAAATTATTTGAAAAAATTATCATCGCCCATCTATTAATCCATGTTAACAACAGGAACATAATCATTCTCCAGCAGTTTGGTTTCAGAAAAAGTCATTCATGCATCCAGCAACTACAGCGAGTTATGGAACACATCATGCTAGAGATAAATAAAAACAGAGTAACACAACCTAGATTTAGAAAAAGTCTTCGATACAGTCTGGCACAACGCCCTTCTAATGAAACTGTAAAGAATAAATACCCTATCCCCTCTCCTTAGACTAAACAAGTTACCTGCAAAACAGGACCTTTTATGTCTCAGTAAACGGTACTCCCTCAACCACCAAAAACATCATTGCGGGTGTACTGCAAGTCGTATATTCCATACTCGGCCTCCTGCTATTCATAATTTACATACACTCAAAATTTCCACTTAGCTGTTTATGCAGACGATACCGCCATCTTCATCGTCATCACAAAAAACGCAACCAAATACATTCAAGCACACTCCACGATTGATCAACTCCATGATTACTTTACAAACTGGAAATTACAAATCAACCTAATCAAAATGAAAGTTATTGTCTTTACAAACAAGAAATCCAAACCCAAATCAAGTTTCTATCGCAGGACAATATCCCTTGGATTCCCACGGTCAAGTACTTTCGGCTAAAGTACTAGACGCTAAAGTCATCTGCAAATCTCGCTTTTTGCGCACTCAGAAGACTATATCCGCTATTCCGCTACACAGAAACAGCATCTCAAAACCAATATCAAACTAATCGTACATAAAATGTGCGTTAGGCCGATAATAACATACGGTCACTAAATTTGAGCTGCAGCTGCAAAGTCTCACATTAGTAAGAATCGAAGAATTCAAAAGAAATTCCTACGCATCATCCTCAACAAACCGTGTTACACATCCACCTACGTACTATACGCAATAGTAAACATATAAACAATTCAGAAATACATTGCAAATCACTTGAAACTGCTTATCAGATAGAGCATCAAAATTCACGCATCAGTCAAACTATAACGTCAACGACATCTTACTAAAAATTAAGAAAAAACTATCTAAACACGTAATTGCCACTACACAAAACCCGAACAAGCTCAAAATCCAAAATAGAAACCAATACAGTTTTTTTGAAATGTTGCTGAACTAGTAATACGCAACCATACAATCACATTATCTTTTCTGAGAAACATCCACCCAACAAATACATCTTTTTATGCAGGTTAAAGAATCACCAAACCCAGATATTGCAATTAAATCAAGTAAAAAAAAAAACACACAGTCAGTTTTTTGAGTCAGTTCAGGATCATCAGGTCACAAAGAAAGTTAGATCAGAAGTTGATTTAGTTTAAGAGTCATTCACAACTCTAGTTGCTGTTCACCTTGTATATTGTCAGTCCAAAAAGTGAAACATTAGTCGTTAGTTGTAGAACACCCTTTAAGCAAGAATCGAACCATCAGGCTTATTACACACAAATTCCAAGCAAGATTCAAATTTATCATTCCCACATCAGTGGGTGGTTTTTTGAACCTTAAGTGGATATATACGCAGAAGAACAGGATCGACACCAGTCGTGATTTTCTTAACACGAACTTATAGTGAAAACAGAAGCTTTACGTTTTAAAATGAGACTAACATAAGAAAAATGATCTTTTTTATGAAGTTATAACAGTTTAAAGTATTGACAATTTTTCTTATTAAAATTAATTGTAGTGCAAAACTGACTTCACGAAGACAATTTATATTTGTCAGAATAGTGATGGTACAACAGTGATGATCATAAAAATCTAAACATCCTACAAAATAGTTTTTTTTTATTCTGCATGCAAACATTCAATAAAGTATTATTAATATTAAAAATCTATATACAGTAGTGTAAATAATTATAAATTCGAAGTAACTTTCATGTTTTTATTGATATTGAAACAAAAACTCAACAAAGTATCTATATATTTCTATATTATAATCCAAACAAAACAAAGAAAAGCATATAATATAAA